TGAGCCCTGCGGTCGGCTGAGCCCCGCGGTCCCGGCCCTGCGGGGTGCTTCCCCTAGCGCCGCAGGTGGCTTTGCAGCTACTTTGGACCCTGCTTTGCGGGATGTCTGGTGCGTGAGGCAGCCTGGCATGGGCTGTTGCCCTGTGGGCTGCCCTCCAGGTGTGTGCTCAGCATGGTGTGGCCGCTGGCCAAGGCCCAGTGGCCACTTGGGATGGGGACAGGTAGTGGGAGCCGGGCGATAAGGTCCCATCCTTGCTGGAAGCTCTGCAGGGTGCGATCCTGCACAGTGTGGGGCACCGGTGTGTCCCTCTGAGGTCTGGAAGATGGGGTGCTGGAAGAGAGGCTTTACTTGCCACTCTTCCAGCTGCCACTGCAATGTAGCTGTGCATTTAGTGGTGCTAATGGCTTGGCAGGGCTTAGGTGGGAGTCGGGAGCCTGTCCTGGGCAGGAGGGACTCGCTGGGCAGCTAGGTCGTCTCTGGTGGCCCTTTGGAGATCCTCCTTCAGGACAGGAGATACCATCTGGGGAGCCTCAGACCAGAAGAAGAATGGTGCCGTCAGATTTGGGTGAGGGTGAGGAGCAGTAGAGGGCTGACTGCTTCTCCTTGGTGGGTGGAGGATGTAGCATAGCCCCATGGTTGCCATGCCAGGTAGATGAGAAGCTCCAGCAAAGGGTGGGGGCAGGCTTCCTTCAGTCTGCGCACTCTTCCAAGTGAGGAACTGTTACCCACGTGATGACCAGCCCACTGGTGGCTGAATGGTGGCTCTGGCTGGGAGGAGAGTGAGGATCAGCATTGCATGTGTTTTGCTGTCTTCCTTCTCCCCAAAACCATTCACTTCATTTCTCTTGTAGCCGAGTGGCGAAACCATTATCCAGGAGGCTTTTAGCACACCAAGAGCTGCTCTCCTGCCTCTGTCCCCAGGGTGCTTCCTATGCCATGCTGTGCAAGTGGGTGTTTGGACAAAACCCCAGCCCTAAAGGGCTGCAAGGTCCTGGAAGCAGCATGTTCCCATCCAGCTACAAGAGGGTGGCTTTAACTTAGTGGCTCAGAGAAGGAACCCCAGCTTGGGGTGCCAGCAGAGAGAACACTCCAAGGGAAAAGCAGAGCATCAGTAGGAAGCCTGGTTAAAACCACAAGCTCTCATTTTGCCAGCTGGTGGCCTCCTGCGGTGTGAGAAGGCTGTTTCGTGACTCCTTGTAAGCAAAGAGTCTCAGGGGCAACACAGGTGCTGTGATGTTTTTCCAGCCTCGGTTGGAGAAACGGGGAAGACAACTTCCTAGAGTGTTTAAAATCTGCAATCTCTGTCTCTCTGGGTGTGTGTAAACACTCTTATCTGAGCTATGTTAATAAATTGCCTGGTTGTTTGGAGGGCTGCGCAGAGCATGTGACTGCTGACAGTGGGTCACAGCTGAGAGTTCCTGCCAGCTGCAGAGAGAAAATGCAGCTTTGCTGCTTGTGAGTGTAGAAAACCAGCATCTCTGGGACTGGGTTGGTTGGGGTTTTTTTCTGATTAAAGTGCTGCAAAGCAGTGATCCTTCTTCCACCAGTTACTGGGTAGTCAGGCAAGTTGGTTTGTGTTTTGTTGTTTGGGCTTTTTTTGTTTTGTTTTTAAACCAGTCAAACAGGCTAATGCTTAGACTCTTTAGGCAGGGGTGAGGTGCCAAGAACTGCCCGTGTCGATAGAGCAGGTGTCTTCCTCTGCCAAATGGGGGTGGAAACATGTCCTGAACACGGGCACAGATTTTGGCTGCAGTGCTGCTCCTGTCACCTGGACC